ACCATACGTAAAATCTTGAGGGCACTGGCTAATGCTGCTCCCGCCTTGGTTCCCTGCAGTGTGCTGGCTGCCAGGTATCTCTGGACGATTACCCACAGTAAACACAGTTAACCTGTCTAAACACCTCATAATCATCACTCCGCCATATGTTAGAACATAACGCAATATGCAATTGATTTAAAACAAATTATATCATAATTAGTATTTTGACAAGCTTTAACTTTATATATGTATTAAAGTGGAATGGAAAATGGAGTACAACGAACACTTTTTATTCCTATTTATTTTTTGAAGAAACAAATAAAACGAATCTATGAAAAGTATCTAGTACCTTAATTCAAGCAATTTTGTTTTCATAGAAACAGTTTTCCGATTTGTACATTATGTGTATGTACCTGGTCTCCACACCAGTAGAACAGATCGCCTACTGTTGCCATAGCCAGGAGTCCAGACCATGGCATATCTCCGGCCACAGGATCAATTTAAAGCTCTACTCTTCAAAAATGAAACTGTCTCGGCTACAACAAAGACGTTTACAAATGATGGCAGTCGAAATATAAATATAATTATGTGTCAACTTAGAAATGAAGCCTGCAATTTGAACTCTGACCTTTTTCTTGACCATTTAAAATATTCTCCAATATGCACATGCAACCTTGGTGAGGAAACTGCGGAACATTATTTTTTTTGTATCTGTCCTCTATTCAACCATTCTCGATTGACACTTAGAAATCAGCTGATTAACCAAAATATAACCCATGACCATTTTAATGTAAGAACATTACTTCATGGATGTCATAAAGTGATGAAGAAACCAATGCATCTGTACTACAATGTATATCAGCGTACATTATCAACACTTAAAGATTTGTTTAATCATAACTATACCTTGTACGGTANATTTTGACAAGCTTTAACTTTATATATGTATTAAAGTGGAATGGAAAATGGAGTACAACGAACACTTTTTATTCCTATTTATTTTTTGAAGAAACAAATAAAACGAATCTATGAAAAGTATCTAGTACCTTAATTCAAGCAATTTTGTTTTCATAGAAACAGTTTTCCGATTTGTACATTATGTGTATGTACCTGGTCTCCACACCAGTAGAACAGATCGCCTACTGTTGCCATAGCCAGGAGTCCAGACCATGGCATATCTCCGGCCACAGGATCAATTTAAAGCTCTACTCTTCAAAAATGAAACTGTCTCGGCTACAACAAAGACGTTTACAAATGATGGCAGTCGAAATATAAATATAATTATGTGTCAACTTAGAAATGAAGCCTGCAATTTGAACTCTGACCTTTTTCTTGACCATTTAAAATATTCTCCAATATGCACATGCAACCTTGGTGAGGAAACTGCGGAACATTATTTTTTTTGTATCTGTCCTCTATTCAACCATTCTCGATTGACACTTAGAAATCAGCTGATTAACCAAAATATAACCCATGACCATTTTAATGTAAGAACATTACTTCATGGATGTCATAAAGTGATGAAGAAACCAATGCATCTGTACTACAATGTATATCAGCGTACATTATCAACACTTAAAGATTTGTTTAATCATAACTATACCTTGTACGGTAGGGACATGGAGACACACTATATGAATTGTTTGTTTGATGATTTCAATGACTGTACATATAACATACCGAAGTTGTAAGGAGAAGGCTTATATAGGCTTTGCCTGATGCCCTATCCCTTTGCATATTTTTTGCAATAAAATTTGTTGAAATGAAAATGAAAAAAATGAAATGACATATTCGCGGTTTAATTTGTCTATTATTCATTTCAATATTTTTGTTTGTTAAAATCATATCATGTAAAGTTACAAAGCTACCAAGACGGATTGATGATATATCCATTGACGACGTTGCTCCTTTATCATATATTTGTCTACTGCTATGTTCACGCTTGTTAACGTTGTCCTAGATTGTTCGTGATTTCGATTGTCCCCAGATTTGGCTGTTTCCTTGGCTTCTCGTGGGGTTGATTGATGACCTCATTCATTCATTAAACTATTTGCGTTTGAGTTTTAATCGATATTTATATAATCATATCGATATCAGTTATTTTTTATTTGAACCATTTACGACTTCAGGGTTATTCCAGACCATGCTCTATTTTCGAATTAACGGGATTTTTAACGGAGGCTTCATTTATGTTTATTCGCCCTATTCTCGTCCTATTTTGACAATCTTTTTGACAATATTCCATTGTTAGCGTATTCAGCACCACGTGTAACACAAGAGAAATATAATATCTGAGAGAAAACAAGGGTATCATAAGAATGGTAAGAATGGTGTTCCCAAATTCGTAAGCAGAGAAAAGTAACACCACATTAACGCATAAAGTTATAAAATAGTAGATAAAATGAGTTTCGTCTTTTATGCATCTTTTGTTTGGATAATAAAACATTCAATATGGCAACCGATTGAGCTACTAACGCAAACATGGCTAAATATTAGTGTGCATAGAGACATAATTCACCAGAGGAAGTTTGTACTGGGTAAGGGTTTGTACTATTAACAAATTCGAGAAGTTGAAAACGTCAATTATGGTTTTGGTCACGTTTCCTTGTGATGTCGTCTTTTCACCTCTTTTGGTATAGACACGGAACCTGAACCCTGCATAGACAATTTGAATAAGACATATAGATTATCATTTTTTTTTATTCATAAAGCAACAACTTCCCTGAGGAATGTGCTGATGATAAGAAAATAATGAGCCGTTACGAATACCAAAACGTTCAGCCATCAAAAGTCGCAAAACGAGGAACGTACCCAATAAGAACCAGAAAATGATTGAAAGATATATCTTAAGGCCAAACTTGACATATATTATCCAGCAATGGCTTGAAGCGATTCCACATTAATCCGTTACTGCAGACGACTGCGTATTATGCATGCGGTTCTTAGGCATATAACTTAAACAACGACATAACGATCAGTGCAATGATGTGGATCATCACCGTAGGATAAATTGATATACAATATCTGATTATGTGGATACGATGAACTAATTATTTAGGAAAGGGAATCATTCGTTACTCATGTAACCAATGATATTACGTCAAGAGGTCCAGAAATGTTTTTGTAAGGTTAAGACTAATTTTGTTTTGGGTCATCCACTTACATAAAAACTGAAGGTCCTCATTCACTTTTCTCTCAACGTCATTAACTGACTCACCTTTAACCCTTTGTGAGGTATGGTCACCTTTATATTAGGAGAACGACGTAACAGGACGGCATTTTTGTAACAAAACATCTCATATTAAAACTGGCCATCTCTACTGCGAATAAGAATGTTATGCTGTCTTTGTGCCGTGCTAAACTAACTCCAAAGGCACTCCACCATTATTACGAGTCTCTATAGACCAGCAGACATTGCCGACAGAAGCGCTGACAAGGATGATACTGACAGAAAGGAGGGGTAACAGGACAACACCGTAAATAACGGTTAAACTTTGAGTATATGAAATAAACAATTTAACTTTTTGTTATGTATGTTGCATGAACACACAACAAATTTAGTTAAATGACGTAGAAAGCCCCATTCCATTATGCTTTAATATAACCATAGCATAATTACTAGGGTATGTCAAGAGGCAAAATAAAAATGATGTACTTGAATCCTTCTTTTTGCATATCATGTTATAAACCTGTTGATATCAAAGCGCAAGAAAGACTATTTCTAAGGATAATACTTCTTCAAAACTGTAGATCCAGATATGAATAGATTAACCTACCAAATTATTGCCGGTTAACAGAAAAACTTTCCACAAAACGGATCAATGATCAATCGAACAAACCTTAAACTTTCTTCATTGAAATACATTCCACTTCGCAGTCTATGCTGGAAAAAGGCCGCCCACGTGACTTATTTTTTTTGAAACTAAGCAACATAAACACAATCTCTATAAAATTTTAATGACAGTGATTCAGAAAACTCTCATATTATATTTAAACATTTACACATATATACATGCCTGTCATGTCACTGTATGTTCAGATACATATACACCTACATGTGTACAACTTCTTCATGCATGTAATGAAAACAATAACAAATGTGCAGTCAGTATATATACGTACGCATGTGAGAATTATAACCATCATATTTAAAGTCATGTTTTATACTTCATATAGTGCCAACTATCAAAGGTGACATAATTATTGTCTTGTTGTAAATAAAATAAAATAAATGAATAACTGTATTTTTTAGACAGCGACTTGTCAACACATTCGTCCGATAAACCCTCCACATTATTTCGTGTGTGTTATATATTAGCGACACTTTATTAGATGGGGTTTGCACACCGTATGTTTTATGACGGAGAGCGCAAAATTAAAACGATAAATTAGGGAATAAAGTAACGACTATACACGTTTATCACGGGATAGGTCACAGCACGCGCATCCGTCGTAAAATCAAAATGTTACCTGACACATCAGCACCTCACAAAAATAAAATTAATATTTTGAATTGTAATGTATAGTTTAAATTCAGAGAATAGAACAGTATATAATGCTTCAAGATATGAGCATGTGTGAAAGAATTACATGTAGCTTATACCTTGGAATAAAACACACATACAATACAAACAAACACATTACATGAGTACACATTTATATTTTGTAAATACAAAAACATGTTCAGTTTGGACCAACAACCTTATATATCGATTTTTGAAGGGCCTTTATAATAACATAGTTCTATACGCACGTTGATAATAAATACATATATGTAAGTGATGATAGCGTATACTATCAAAGCTATATAATTTTTTTTTTTAATTTCATATTGTTCGACTGTCAAAGGTGACATTATTGACGTTTTGTGACAATAATAAAAATAAAATGAATAAATAAATACCTTTATTCCGATTAACGTCAGCCGATGACTCGAACTCTCAGACGGCGACTAACCAACACATGCGCCCGATAACCTTTGACCTGTGACGCATTGTAGTGTTTTTAATAACGTTTGAAATCAGCACAGCTCATGTTCAAAAAAGGTGAACGAACATATAATACTGTGAGGTCGGTCTTACCAAGAACTACAAGTATGTTAATATGTGTTTTTGTGTTTGTAAACATGGAATAAGTTATTGCACAATATCTGAATCACGAAGAGATCTGTAAACGTGTTTTGGACAGTTTTTATAGCATCAAAGTAAGTATGAACAATACAGATGTCATAATAACTATATACATGTATATTGTTTACAGTGATCCTTCAACCTTGTGTATGTGACGCGCGTCCTCCATGGTAAACAAAGTATCTGGTTAAAGTAACCTCTTTAAGATCGTCTAAAAGCTTTAGATCTTTATCACCTATAGTGTATATCTTGCTAATGTCTATTTTATCTTAGGAATGGACTTTTCTGGGAGTGGTAGTATCTGGGGATGGCTTATCTGGAAATTATCTATTTGGGATGGGCTTATCTGAGAACGAGATCTTATCTGGGCTGGTCTCATTGAAGAGTGTAATATATCTTAAAAGTAAAATTGAACTTCTTCTTTAAACTAAGTTTGGGAATTTTGTGGAAATAATAGGATTAAATATCTTATGAATTATGTTATATTACTAATACATAATATGATTCGCTACATTAATGATCGATCTGTGTTATCTGTGCTATCTATATATGTACCTAACATATCTATGTTATCTTAGTTATCTATTTAAGTTACCTAACACATCTATGTTATCTTAGTTATCTATATACGTTATCTAACATATCTATGTTATCTTAGTTATCTATATACGTTACCTAACATATCTATGTTATCTTAGTTATCTATTTACGTTACCTAACACATCTATGTTATCTAAGCTATCTATATACGTAACCTAACATATCTATGTTATCTTAGTTATCGATATACGTTACCTTTAAGATCTGTGTATATTAGGTATATGTTTACATTACCTAACATATCTATGTTATCTTAGCTATCTATATACGTTATCTAACATATCTATATCTTAGTTAGCTATATACGTTATCTAACATATCTATGTTATTTTAGCTATCTATATACGTAACCTAACATATCTATGTTATCTTAGCTATCTTTATACGTAACCTATCATATCTGTGTTATCTTAGCTATCTATATATGTAATCTAACATATCTATGTTGTCTTAGCAATCTTTATACATTACCTAACATACACATGTTATGTTAGTTATCTTTATACGTAACCTAACATATCAATGTTAATTTAGCTATCCATAGACGTTATCTAACATATCTATGTTATCTTAGTTATCGATATACGTTACCTATAAGGTCTGTGTATATTAGCTATATATATACGTTACCTAACATATCTATGTTATCTTAGCTATCCATATACGTTATCTAACATATCGATATTATCTTAGTTATCTATATACGTCACCTAACATATCTATGTTATCTTAGTTATCGATGTACGTTACCTTTAAGATCTGTGTATATTAGGTATATGTTTACGTTACCTAACATATCTATGTTATCTTAGCTAACTATATACGTTATCTAACATATCTATATTATCTTAGTTATCTATATACGTCACCTAACATATCTATGTTATCTTAGTTATCGATATACGTGACCTTTAAGATCTGTGTATATTAGGTATATGTTTACGTTACCTAAAATATCTATGTTATCTTAGCTAACTATATACGTTATCTAACATATCTTTGTTATCTTAGTTATAGATATACGTTACCTTTAAGATCTGTGTATATTAGCTATACATATACGTTGCCTAACATATCTATGTTATCTTAGCTATCTATAAACGTTATCTAACATATCTATGTTATCTTAGTTATCGATATACGTTACCTTTAAGATCTGTGTATATTAGCTATACATATACGTTACCTAACATATCTATGTTATCTTAGCTATCTATAAACGTTATCTAACATATCTATGTTATCTTAGTTATCGATATACGTTACCTTTAAGATATGTGTATATTAGGTATATGTTTACGTTACCTAACATATCTATGTTATCTTAGCTATCTATATACGTAACCTAACATATCTATGTTATCTTAGCTATCCATATACGTTATCTAACATATCTATATTATCTTAGTTATCTATATACGTCACCTAACATATCTATGTTATCTTAGTTATGTATATACGTCACCTAACATATCTATGTTATCTTAGTTATGTATATACGTCACCTAACATATCTATGTTATCTTAGCTATCCATATACGTTATCTAACATATCTATATTATCTTAGTTATCTATATACGTCACCTAACATATCTATGTTATCTTAGTTATCGATATACGTTACCTCTAAGATCTGCGTATATATGAGCTATATATATACGTTACCTAACATATCTATGTTATCTTGNTTAAATATCTTATGAATTATGTTACATTACTAATACATAATATGATTCGCTACATTAATGATCGATCTGTGTTATCTGGGCTATCTATATACGTTATCTAACAGATCTATGTTATCTTAGCTATCTATATACGTCACCTAACATATCTATGTTATCTTAGTTATCGATATACGTTACCTTTAAGATCTGTGTATATTAGCTATATATCTATACGTTACCTAACATATCTATGTTATATTAGCTATCCATATACGTTATCTAACATATCTATGTTATCTTAGTTATCTATTTACGTTACCTAACACATCTATGTTATCTTAGCTATCTATATATGTAACCTAACATATCTATGTTATCTTAGCTATCTATATACGTAACCTAACATATCTATGTTGTCTTAGATACCTATATACATTACCTTACATATCTATGTTATCTTAGTTATGTATATACGTCACCTAACATATCTATGTTATCTTAGTTATCGATATACGTTACCTTTAATATCTGTGTATATAAGCTATATATGTACGTTACCTAACATATCTATGTTATCTTAGCTATCTATATACGTTATCTAACATATCTATATTATCTTAGTTTTCTATATACGTTATCTAACATGTCTATGTTATCTTAGCTATCTATATACGTTACCTAACCGATCTATGTTATCTTAGTTATCGATATACGTTACCTAACATATCTATGTTATCTTAGCTATCTATATACGTTACTTAACATATCTATGTTATCTTAGTTATCGATATACGTTACCTCTAAGATCTGTGTTATATTAGCTATATATATACGTTACCTAACATATCTATGTTATCTTAGCTATCCATATACGTTACCTTACTGATTTATGCATCCTGTTTCCAAATGAGTTTTACACTAAACATTATTTCACGTTAACGTTATTATATACACAGTTTTATATAACAAATATTGCTTTAAAAGAAGTCCATACATCTCAAATTAACAACCTTGGTTTGTAAAACTCACGTGACAGCAAATCGAGTAAATATCTAATATTACACCAAATGAGTGGAACTAGTTCTCAGTCAGAAGAACAATACCTATACCTTTTACAGACTGATTTTTGTCTGTTTTACTGTGTTGAGTGTTGATTTTGACTCCTATGCAGATCCTAAATTCATATTTGGATATCATGCAGTAAGGCAGTAAGTGAAACACAATCAGGCGCCATGGATTGTGTCTCTAGTGATGAAGGTTTTATATATATATCAACGCTTCAAGTCAGTAGCAAAAAAGTCCGGACCTCAATGTTCAACAAAGTCATCAATAGGAGGCTAGGTACCCATTGTCGGACGAATCAGATAATTTCGTTCAATCTACAGCGGAAACTTATCTCGAACCATTTTCAACAAATATGAAAGTTTGAAGATAAGGTCAACAAACATTTCCGTTGACTTCCACACTGACCGAGGCATCGTGTGTATATGTCAAAGACCACATTAATCATCAGTCAGTCTTCTCAGGATAGTGTTGAGTCATTTTACACATTTACACTTGTCAAAGAAGTGTTGCTCAGACAAAGACAGTGCTTGGCTATATCATATTTCCTATTTGATATATCAATCTCAGACGGGATTGTACCAGAAACGAATATGCCTGAACTAAAACCACAGTTCTTACATACAGATATTGAATGCAAAAAACCTACCGACCAATTAGCATTCTTATCATAGTGTTTTAAAAAAGTGTGCAAGCAACTTCAAACTTCTCTGAGATCTTATATTTTCATGTGCACTACAGCCAGTCGTTAGAAGTTACTGTCCTACAGAACCGTTCCTTATTCATTTGCGATTGGCGACGTACATTGTTGGCTGAAGTTTTGTTAACCCCTGTTATTCATGTGATATAGGTGCAAGAGGGTTAGGAAGATATTTTCCCAACAGATAACACGTGATAGAAAGTGATATAAAGCTTTATTCGTATTTACGTATCTTTAAGGCAACCAATGGGAGATACTTATATACTTAATTATTTTGGTTGGAGTATCCCTGGTAAGGCAAAGTTCATGTAAATAGCAATTATTCAAACATTTTTGGTATATAAATATTGCCTTAATAAATAACATTATTAATATAACGATAACTGACGAAAATGATGACAAATTTCAAAAGCACATGTTAAATTATGGAATTATAGTTATTATTCAAATAAATTATGAATTGTTACATATTGTTAATGACAGGTTGTTTGAGGGAAGCTATTAGCAAATCCATACCGCTAAAACATGAAAGAATGATAGCAACATGTGATGTAATTTCTGATCCTTGAGGACTGAGGACAATTATCTATATTATTTAGTAACTAACTGCATCCTGTACACATGTCTAAAAGCAATACGTTACAGCCCATTAAATTGTTAAATAACCCATGCACTCACCCTACAGCTATGGTGTGGAGGTTTCCCTCAATTCCTCTCTATTAAGTTGGTTAAGTCTAACCAGGAGCTTTACAATAAAATAATATAAATATCCCTAATAAATAATTTGACCTTTATGAATTTGATACCAATTCATAGAAAGTTAAATAAACAAAGACTTATATCTTTACATAGTGAAGTTCGGTTCGACCTTGAAATTGTTCAATGACAAAATGTAAATTACTTTTAGATAAAAAAAGATAAAATTACATAGGCACAATTGAATTACAAAAAAGGGTATATTCCCAACATTTTCTGTTATACTATATGAACAAAAAGTTATGAAACAAATAGAGTAAAAACTTACCAGCTAAAGACTCAATTCAAACTACAAGGTGTATGCGTCATCACCGCTGGTCAGGAGCTCCCAAGTTGACCGACAGACCAAGACATGCAACAGTTTAACATCTAGTTGAGAATAAGAAATAATCCAATAGAAATGTCTGGTGTATCTAATGCAATTCTGAACCAACAACACGGTATCCATATTCATATATAAGACTCGTGATTGGAAACCATACAAAAAGTTTGAGTATTAAGCGGCATAATGTCACTCAGTGAAGAGAAGAAGTTAAGGTAGAATTGTCTTTGGTTATTATAAAGAGGACATGGATGAAACGGTGATCACAGTGTTCAACAAGGGAACCACATATACAGGCTGGGCTTTCATTTATATGGGAAAAAGAACCGAGTCCAAATTAATGGCAGACTTTCTTAATTGTTATAATGCTATGTTAATTAGTCTATCACCATGATGTTTGAAATACGTATTATATCAGGGTCGAATATCCATAGCAGGTGAACGTAAACATTCCGTTTTGAGAGCTCGAGGAGATGTCATGCTGGGAAACAGACAAGAAGGGTCTCTCCATGCTAATATAAGTTTCGGGAAAAGAAGTAGCATTGTATAAATGCGTTCTCTGAGTTGGAACATCAAATAGGCTATTATGTAGAAAGTTATAATTTTCATAATTATTGATATATGATTGAATTATGTCGAAAACATTCGTTGTTTACAATCTTAAAAAATGTAATATTTTGATGCAAATGTCTTCTTTTACTAAGTGTAAAGAGTTAAGCTTCTCTTTATGAACATTAGGGCTAGTTCCAGGTCTTAAACATATAATAATACGTGCTGCTTCAATTTTGTACAGTTTGCCCTTACAATACTCGCTATTTTGAGATTGGACATACAAAAGTAATATATATAATCCCTATTGATTTTTAAGTATATTTAATCTTTCATAAGGGTTTTTCAATATGGTTTAGTTCAGTGCTTACCAGACATGACATTGATCACTGCGAGATGGAGGGTGCACTGTGCTGTTAGTAACGAAGTTTAAGTTGTTAGTTAATATCCAATCAAGTAATCGTGGTAGGTTGAGTAATAAATAGTATTATCTAATCTATGCTTTAATAATACTCTATGAAGACGTGAATTCGGATTAAGATTTAACATATCTATATTAATATCTCAATCAAGGATTATTTCTCTTTGAAAGTCAACAAAGCTATCAAGATTATGGTCAAATGTATCCCTAAAGCATACAAGAGAGTTAGGGGGTCTCTATAAGTAACCAAGAAGAATGTGTTCATTATGCGTGGTTACTTTTTTAAGTATTTTAAGTGTAAATAAAGATCCCGTTCCTGTAATTGTTAGCCCTATTCTTTCTAAAATGATTACCAAAATTTTCAAGAGAAATGCCACTTCAGAAATAGAATCATTAAGATTCAGAAACACTGTGGTTTGTTCCGCAGGGAACATATATCGATATGACTGATAGATATATAATCAAAAACCAGTATTCAGATTTTGATGTGGATCCGGACCAGGGTTCGGGTAGTTATCAACACATACCAGTAATTTTATAAGTTTTTATGGGAAGAAAATTCATGGTAGTAAGAAATATGTCAATGGAAAAACTAGAGACACGACAATAAGTGATATGTTATTCATTATTTCACCATGTCAGGGTACACCGATACTTTATTCATTATCAAAAATAATATATATGATGTTCATGCAAAAAGCAAATCCTGATATATGAATGTGGTATATCTAGCCAATAAATATTTTAATTGTTGTAAACAATATTGACATGTTTGACCGTTACTATGGGAACACAAAAAAGACAAACATACATTTGTTTACACTGACTAATAGGATCCAAAAGAAAAAGAATGGTACGAAAAAGCAGAGGTGTAATTTGGAGGTCAATTGACTAGAAATAGAACACTGGAATTGTTCCTAAAGACCCACCTCTCTGACCTTCAATGGCCTCAGTTATTTTTGTACTGGTGACTCCAATGTTTGTCGGCAATTTCCTTACCCGAAAAGAGCCAAATCATTCTAACCAGGACATTACATAACACATGCACGATCGCAATGCTTTAGAATACAAAACTGGATATGTTTATTCATTCATTAATAAACAATTTACTTACATTTATATAATATATGCCTTTTTTATATGACTTGCTATGAAAGTGCAAATACATTCGCCACACTGACACTATTTTTAAGCTTTGTTAACATTTAATATAATGACCTCTTCCGTGACCTTAGCTTATCATAGTTTCCTACTACAGACAGCCATGGTATACAAAACACCTGTTGGGGTTAGGGAATTTTCTAAGTTACAATACATGAACCCATGCACGTGCTCACACAGGTCTTGGACGTAGGCAATGCTTAAAAAATACAATAAATAAATAACTAAGTAATGAAAGTGTCGTACTACTCTGAAAAGTAGTTTATAATAATTTTCGAACTGAAATCGCTTGTATAGCTGAATTTGATGACATAAGTTGTGTTGTAAACGGACAATGCACACGCTGAGAAATGGATCATTGTGATAGGAAATACATTCTGAAACAGGAACGTTCTTTTGTAAATAACTAAATATCGAACCATTGTAAACGAAGAAAACACAAATAGTAAGGCTGCTTTTATGATTTTGATAATATTACACTTTGTTTACAATATCAAAGGGAATGGTGTAGCAATATTTCATACGATGGAAAGCAATTATTAATATGACATGCATAGTATATAGTCCGTCTATCGATTCATTTGATCGATAACGAATTATGGTCCATCTACCTTGTGTCCATACTCCTGTGAAGGTACCGATGGATTTGAAGTATGTCGCCTTCGCATATGCCTCTGCTTTTTGTTTCGCGAGAGCCTAATTTAAATAAAATGGATGTTTGACTGGATTGTTGTCGATCATGAGTTCATGATCAATCAAAATCTGCCACACTTCAAGCACCACCAATAACAAGCTATCAGGCTAGCAACAAAGTCACCGGGATGATATTAAGTGCTTTTTTGCAGGCTACAGATGTAGTGAAAACATAGAAAAATCCTAGTACTGTACAGTAGGTGTTGTACTAAACTAAGTACAGGTTCCAACACTTCATTTAGGAAGAAGTAGCAGAATAGCAGTAGTAGAATCTTGTTGTACTAAGTACATGTATCATGAGAAACATGTTAAAGTAAAAAAACGTGAACATTACATCTAGGAGATTCACTGTCAGCATCCCTTGATTGGTATGATAATCACACCATTGCCTACTAACACTGTAACATTCTGTTATTTTATGTTCCTGTATAGGTGCTCAGTTCCCGAGACCAGATTTCAGAATGGAGCATCACAACAAACTAAACAATTGGCAAGATATCACCGTGTTGATAGTCTACTTCGCTGCTGTGCTGGCTGTGGGGTTGTGGGTAGGTTCATTACACTCACACTTTAATGTTTCATATTGAACTACCTTGAACAAATCTTCCGGATAGAGGAGACTATTGAATAACTACGGTTTCCTTGTTTCAAACTATGAACATGATTTTCGTAGATAATAGTTTTTGGTTTACGACTCTATAGACTAAAGAAAATATAATTTGACTTATAGGAAGAGAGATGTAAGCGAAACAATGTGACATGTAAAATATATGCGAATCTATTCTAAAGTTATCTATTAGCCTAACTAATAATACTGTCGTCAAATATACCACATATACCAACTATATCACCAACGTTTCTACCAAACGAGAAGGTTGTTCTCATTGAAGAAAAGTAGCCGAGGTGGCATTATTGGAGCGCTATGTGCATACTCTTCGTATCCTGTGTTTTCTGTCTAGTTTCTGCATTTCAACGTAATTGCTACTTCGTTTTGGTTGATTCGACAAATAATGGTTTTAAAATAAACACAATATCAACATACCTTCGTACAGCATCTAAATAAGCATCTAACAAAAGTCATTGCCATCATGTTTTCCTATCGAAAAATTACTTTTCGTCATAGAGTGAGAGTTATCAGAGACAAAACATACCAAACCTTAACGGAAATTCCCAAATAGTTGCCTATTGATGTAAGACATTGGACTTAAATGTAAATATATAAAAACACGACTTTGTTCCCACATTCCTACATTTACACTGTCAAGTTATTTTCATATTTTCAATACTTAACTAGCAGATATCAAAGACGAGATATAAGCCTAAATTCTGTTTATTTCAGTCTATGCGAAGTTCAAAACGGGGGAATGTGAAGGGCTACTTCCTGGCTGGCCGCACAATGCCTTGGATAGCGGTAGGTATCGCCTATTACCACAAGTGTCTCTCAATGGATAATTGACTTACCCTTTATCATTTCTTCATAATATTATGTTGTTTAAGTTGTGTTAGGTAAGGTACTGTGGATGACATTATGTTGTTTTAGTTGTATTAGGCTAGTTACAGTGAATGGCAGTAAGTTGTTTCTGATTTGGCTAGTTTTCTTGGATGGTCGTGTTTAATTTAAGTTGTTTCGTGCGTGTTCCCATAGACTATCGTGAGTTGTTTTGGCTAGTTGTTTTGGACCATTGTCTGCGGACGATAGTTTATGTGGACTAATAATCACCTTATTTTCTCAAATAATTTCAGACTCCAGCAAAGGTACCCTACTGATCTCTTCTAACGTTGTACTATTTTCTTTTCAATGCCTATTTGCCTACTTTCATGTTGCTTAAGACACTGGCCAAATGTGTGACGTCCACTCGGCTTTTTTTCCTTTTCACAGTAAAATGTCTGTTTAAAGCAACTTACTGACAATTTTCAATTGTTACATCAATTAATCACCCAAAGATAAAATCTTCAATTCAAGTGGTCTTTAGTTACAAGTTTTCAAAAGGGAAAAAATGAAACACTTTAAAAAAAAAATACTTGATTATTTTGTTCTATGTCTTGAATTAGTAATATCTAATAGCTAATTACATTATCTTGACAAAGTGGCGGATTGACACAGAAAATTTACAATGATAATGTTTCCACTATTGCCAATAAGCTGAGTCAAGCAAAATGTATCCGACAAACATTATGTTTATATAGTTCCTATACCGGATCATACTATCATTACTCGTAATACATATAGTATATAACTGTTGTTGCCAGGTTGGAGCTTCACTGTTCTCTAGTAACATAGGGAGTGAGCACTTTATTGGACTGGCAGGGGCCGGAGCATCAACAGGGATAGCCATGATTCTGTTCGAGTGGAGTGTAAGTATTCACATTAAAATTAAGTCGTATCTACTGTTTTATGTAATTTACATGAAATTCACAGTGTATACATGATATAGTCAGAGCCATTTTAATTGATATTAGGATGGTAATCAAAATGCAAGGCAATCAAGCACCTACAAATTAGTTATTAGTTAGTTATTGTCGACGCATCAAGACTTTATAGGTATAAATAAAAAAAATAACTGCGCCGTACGGTCACTTCGTCCATTTTGTACAGCGCCTATATTGTTTCGAAACAGATAACAACACAGCGATGGAAAGGTTCCCATAAACAGCACCGAATACTATTGAACATCACATGTTTAAACAAAAACACATTTATTGTTCTTAAATTGCAGCCGGTGTTTCTGATATTGCTGCTTGGCTGGTATTTTATCCCTGTCTATATTTCCGCTGGGGTAAGTTCGTCTCTTATGTGTTTATTACTTTCTAGTAGTGATGATTCTATTCACATCTCATTTCTTACTATCCAATAACATTCCATTTGGGATGTCTTTATAAGACATTTGCTTGTAACGACGGATGTTTCAGAAATCTGTATCGTCCGAATAAAAGTCTTGTGAAACTATTTTTTCATCATTTACCCAATGTATCCGTTATGTATCATATTGTTTTATTATGAATGTTGACAGGTGTACACCTTGCCAGAGTATCTTGAGAAGCGTGTTGGAGGAAACAAGATCCGGATTTATATATCGGTTTTGTTTCTGGTGCTCGCTGTTGTCACCAAACTAGCGGTAACTTCATGCTTTTTATTTGACACCCTTTACAGTTACATTGAATAACTGAGCAGTACATATCCTATAGAACACCCATTACAGTCTTAGTCACCGGGCTAGAGGTGAAGTTCTATAATTCCTGTGATTTTATGACATTTTTAAGTCATTCCTATACTACACCCCACTTCATGGATGTAACGTCACAATGGGACAATACGGTGACGTCAGGAGCTCGGAAACATTATAATGCCATGTTTATAAAACTGTATAATTTCTGAGCTAGTTCTTGTAATCGTTATGGCAGACAAATATTCTTCTTTACCAAGGGCTGTAGGAGTGGGTCTCTATCCAAGCGTCCATACTTACGTGTAATCTAAATTAAAGTTTTTGTCACAATAAGAGTTTTTCATTATATCAGAAACAATCAAGAAATGTCAAAGTGATAAAGCAACTTGTTTTATGGATAAAGTAAGAAATGAATTGATTGTGGTTGATTAATTTAATAATTTGTTTTTCTTTCAATCAGTTCCTGACATTTTATAAAAAAAGATATCATAAACATCAGTAGAAAATGCTGTATTGTTTTAATTTTCATTCCTGGAACAGGTGAATATGTTTGCTGGCGGTCTCTTCATCCAAATGGCAACCGGATGGAACATGTATATGTCCGTCATCATTTTGTTAGTGATCACGGGATTCTACACCATACTGGGTAACATTTGCTGCATCAATGTAACTTTACAATCATTGTCTACGACGATAACGTTTAGTAAACTGAATGAATAATTTTATAATAGGCTTATTTGACAAAGATAAACAGAGCAATTTCTCATTGTTTCTTGGTGGTACCTACAGGGGGACTAAAGGCGGTGATGTATACCGACACATTCCAGGCATTAGTTCTCACGCTCGGAGCTCTTCTCTTGTTTGGAATAGGTATGTATTTTAGCGTGACTCGTTTTGCTGTTGTTCCGTTCGTAGTCAAAGCGGTGTAAACAAGCACAAGATATAAGTACATAAGTAACCAATTTTATATGTTTAAACAAATTTAAAAGTACTGCTATTGTCATTACAGATAATTTGGTATGTAAACTTTATTTATGAATAATTTCACATTGTCAAATACATCTGATATCGGTTATTTTTAGCTTTCAGTCGTGTCGGAAGCTTGGAAAACCTGGAACGTTTGTATATGAATGCAACTGCCACTATCCAGATCGCCAACAGTACCTGTGGCTTACCTAAGAAGTATGCATTCCACGTGTTCCTTGATCCTGTTAATGGCGAGCAACCCTGGCCTGGTCTACTTGTCTGTTCTTCTCTGGGATGTGTCGCCTACTGGTGCTGTGACCAGGTAATGTCTTGTGATGATGTTATAACCAGAATTGATTTGTATTAAGATTTCTAGTATCAAGATTGATTGATTGAACAAAAACCTGATGATTTAGCCGTATGTAAATGGTTTCATGAACATATATGTAAAACATTGATTAGATTGGGTAGGTTTCAGAATTGTGTTTACCAACACTGAAACAGGATTTGGTAAGATTCATTTGCTGGAAGAAATGAAAATTTATGTTCAGTAAATTTAACTACTATTGGATACAATTTTGAAACGAAATGTTTAGACGTTAAGTAATACATGTATGATATATAGAAAGTATTTAAATAATAACTGATGTGTATCCAAAATATTTATTGAAATATTTAAAAGAAAGTAAGCAGTTTTCAGTCTATCGTTATCAATATGTATAAGGAATATCAGTTATTTTATTATTTCTCAAAATCAATGTATTATAAACTTGATATTAAATAATTGAATATTTCCATGTAATTCTTTACACTTGATTTGATGTCAATGTCAAAACGCTGTAAAACTTTTTTTTTTAAGAAACAATGGTAAACATTGACATACGGCGTTGGGGGTTGGGAAGGTGTACGTTATATTGTCTTCTTTATTTTCAGGTTATAGTACAAAGATCTCTAGCGGCAAAGAGCCTTTCCCATGCAAAAGGCGGTTCGGTTATGGCTGCTTGCCTGAAACTGCTGCCGCTTTTCCTGATGATATTGCCGGGAATGATAAGCCGTGTCTTGTTTCCTGGTAAATGATTGTTGCTTGCCCGAACGCAATAAATAGCATATATTATAATATATAACCGATCTTATCGATAACTTAATCTTCATTTCGCCAGTCTCATCTATATTTTGTTTTAACGCTAAGTCTTTTTTCAATCACAAGTTTCACAGATTTCTACAAAAGCACTTTTATTAAGTTAGTTTTCACATTCCGCAAGTCATTTTTATAACATAATATGGCTTGCTATATTTTCAAAACTGTATTCTTGTTTATATTATCACAGTGCTAAATATACTGTAGAACCTCGATAGTCTGATACCTAACAGGAATTCTTGTACTGAAATGCTGAAAAATAGGAAAGTTGAATATGAATTTGCATCATAGATCAGGATACAAGCTGAGTGGACTTATGGCGTTCTATTGTATATTATCATAGCTTCCCGTCAGTGTTGTGTGTTATGATGTTTCGAAGGAATATTCACATTTCAGGTTTCATGTTTATGCTGACCGAAGCAGCAGACATGTCTTAGTTGAGTATCGCAGATATATACGGACAAAATGCTGAAGCGATCTTGTGTTAATATTTTAGACGAGGTAGCTTGTGTGGACCCTGATGAATGTATGCGGATATGTGAAAACCGCGTGGGATGCTCAAACATCGCTTATCCGAAACTCGTGCTGGAGTTACTTCCCAATGGTAAGTCGATAATAAATACCGCAAATCTTGTCGGTGCAGAAGTGACTAGGTCGTTCCTGAATGTGATGTAGTTTCCTCTTTGATGACTTTCAAGGTCGAACTTGTTTTAATGAAATAAGAAACACCGCTATCACGGCAATTCGTTTCGGTTTTCACTAACCAGTACCGTTCTTATGAATCATTTAAAAGAAGTCGGCTTATACAAAAGTTAAAAATAACAAACAGATGTGATTATTAATAATCAGAAAATTAAAGCTTATGATATGTTTACTTTAAATTACACAGGTCTAAGGGGTTTTATGATGGCTGTGGTTCTCTCCGCCATCATGAGTTCCCTCACGTCAATCTTTAACAGCTCAAGTACTTTGTTTACCATGGATTTGTGGAGACGATTCAGGCCTAAATCCACGCAGCGAGAATTACTCCTCGTAGGCAGGTAAGGCTTGTTGTGAAGCCAATGACACTCTGAATTAGGGTGTTTGTCACCTTCACCTCCATACTTTCAGGGGTAGTGTGACGAGAGGTGACGCGAGCAAATGGTGGTGCAGGAATTTCGTACTTAACTGGAAAACAAACAATTCGTGTGTTGATCAATGATGTCCTATTATAGCCTTGGTGTCTCCTCAGTTCCTGTTACCATGATTCTTATGGTCATGCTGAGTTTATTGGCATGATGTATATTTTTGTATGCATTTCAATTTTGTTCCAGCCTAGGTTTAAACGAGGTAGTAGTCACTCGTAGTTGATAAACAGTTTCAGCGTTGATTAAAGTTCTACTATAGAACTACTAGATGATTTATTGGTATGAGTAACGAAAATGAGACACTTATTTCGAAACGTTATTTCGCATATTGTTAACCGTAATGGCTACATATTCATTTCACTTTTGTTTCTTCTTCCTTATGTCACAGAGTCTTCATCCTCTTCATGTGTGTATTGAGCATCGTATGGTTGCCTTTGATCAAAAGCTCACAGGGAGGACAACTTTTTGCATACCTCAACATGGTCCTAGCAAGCCTTATGGCACCAGCTGGCCCAGCATTCCTCATTGCAATATTTTGGAAGAGAACGACAGAAATAGTAAGCAGATACATAGGTTTCGCTATAAAAATAGTGCTGATTCCTTTACAAATGGTAAGCGGAAGAAAAAAGTTGCATTCTGGATGCTTTGTTTGAAACTAAACATGTTTGTTGTTAATCTGTATAACGCGTTTAACATATGGATAACGAAAAAAGAATCTAGGATTTGAGATCTGACTGTCTCATGTAGGTTTAGCTGTTGTATCACGTGAATCCAGTGTGAGGAGTTGTGTAAAAACCACGTGATGTAGATAAGTTAAATAGATGTTTTGTCATAGAAAATACAATATTTGAACTCTCCAAACCAGCAGAATAGCTTTACCTCTCAAATAATTGATTAATCTACAATACGTCCTTGTAACATGGATGATGACAACATATAATTGTGTTCTTTCTACAGGGAGTAATTGGTGGCCTGCTTCTAACGCACATATGTGGCATCGTACGTCTGGTTTTAGAATTTACATACCCAGCGCCACCTTGTGGGGAACCGGAGACCCGACCAGCAATTCTCTACAAATTTCATTTCCTGTACTTTGGATTTTTTAATGTGTTTCTGGCATTTTTGGCTATAGCGTTGATCAGCCTGATGACACGACGACGGACCGATGAGGAGGTAGTTTGTTTTATCTCATAAGTTATCTTCCTCGTGTATCCGGTTCAAATATCCAGTGTCATGCTAATCCTATCTTGTATCATCGTCTCTCGGTTAAGATATGCATTGAAGAGAGAATGTAAAACTTGTCCAATCTTAACTGATCGGTTTTACTCACAACAAAACATAAGCAAGTACTGTCTACTTATGCATGTGTAGGCTATGTTTTGTGTCGAATATGTGATCGAGCCGTGAATTTATTCTACAGCTACAACATGTGACCTGGTGGACAAGAGTTAAGGCCCCTGATACGATACCGGAAGACAAAGATGAGGAGTACGCGGCCGTCGACAACGATGACATCAACCTTAAACTGGTGGATGGTGTACCGGTCATCGATAAACCGACTGGCGAGAAATACGTGTCAGGTATTCAATCGTCAATTACTTAAGTACCGTGTTTTCTTTTCTTAAATTTCCTAAAACCCCTAGATACATGGTCTCAGGTTACCAAGGCGGTACTTAGGAAGGATAACGGGGGTTACAAAGACGGGCAGCTAAGGCAAAAAGTCGATAAAGTGTATATAAATGAAAAGAAAACGATTTACTAATTACTTTACCATACTAAATTAGCATGTACAATGCTATAGTTTCCTTTTTTAGGTAGTGCGAGAACCTCCTAATAGAAACAACGATATGCTATAAACTCAAAATAATAATTAACATATCTTTTTATCAGAATATTATGGAGTATTTGATTTGTCAACAAGTGAAACCTCTAATAACATTTATTGTGTTTCCTTTTAAGATGATGAAACCAACCTAGATGATGAGGCATCCATGATAGCAGACTCACCAAGGCCATGTTTGGTCAAACTAACCTCGTTCCTGTTGGGAGAACCCGAACAAGGAAGGGAGATAACTAGGATGTCGTTACGACAGAAACAAATATTCATGACTGAACGGAAGCGGTACAAATGGCTACTAAACGTTTCGGCCGTCTGTATGATCGCGATCGTAATGTTCCTTGCTGGATATTTCGCGTGATGTGCACGTAATGGAGAGAATATATTATCACAGTGATCTTCGTTTTAGCCATGTTAGACTTTCGGATTAGCTTTACAGATATGATTTCAAAGTTTGGTGACTTACGTATACTAAACGTAACGAAAACAAGAAATCATTATACATTATACTGTATCATTATACTGTATCATTATACGTTATACTGTATCAGTATACATAGTATTTATTATCAGCCATGTGTTTTATGCGTAAATACTCGACATGTTCAGTCATGCTATGGTTTATATTGATGCGCATTCTATTTAAAACATAACAATATGATTGATTAAAAACATTTATTTTAGGTTAGTCTCCTCCGTTTGCCTTTGTAACTTATGTTAATCTATTTATTTTATAACTTTGGTTACATGTAGTTCTCACAGGTATACGTTGTAACTTATACTATACTGTGTTACACATGTGAGTTGTTCGTTCTTTGTAACTTTGTTACTCTTTAGTAGTATACTTTAGCTTATTTTGGTCCTCTCGGGTATATTTTTCACCTTGATGAATCGTCTTCATCAGTAGTATAAATTGTAGTCCCCGGTATGTTTTTTTGAAGTTTTGACATACCATTCCTTGTTTTTATTAATTTTCGTTCATTTCCTTTTTTTTTAATTCGTATCAATGTAATAAAATATTGTTATTCAATTTGTATTACGTTTTAAATCAATACCTGTCTATTGGCACCTCTAGAGAATGGTTTCTTTTCCATTTTTTATTCCCATGTTCAGTTGAATAACTCTTTACTATGAGTTATCATATTGGCCAGTCGCTTACTTGGTGATATGCGCCGATATATTTCGTATGAACAGTGAAAAGACTGACAAAAGGTAGATTAATACGCTAAATACTAACAGCAGAGACAAGTAAAAACCAAATTCCAACGTCGATTATACTGATCTTATGCAATAAAACATATGTCACAGGGAAGACGATGACATTCATGGCAAATGCAAAACTGGTATTTATGTTCGTTGTATTGCTGAACGTAGGTTGGAACATGGGAATTTAGTTGGCATATAATGGCAGTCAAGTCAAAAATGAAATGAGTTAAAACATCCAATAATAAAAATTTAATCCATATCAAACAAAGACTATCATTGCATGAGGCACATTGCAAAATTTACAGAGTATTTAGCATTATCGTAAAACATCGTGATTTTTTTTATCCATTTGATACATAAATAGGAATATCTTTGTGAAGGTACTGATATACAAAATTCGCTTGCGCTTAAATGCTAATTTTGTGATTTAACATTTACTGTTATCTCCAAAATAATACAAAAGGTATACGATAATGATATATTGACATTAGCGTATACCAAGGTCAGAAATAGATGTAGTTACTCACATATAATCGGTAGTGTTCCAAAAAATAGAATTCCCGAAGGTCGTATTCATTTGCGAAAAGTCGTACAGAAACTTGATTCTATTTATGTCTTATTGACTCAATACACACAAGAATTTCCACAATTACTTATGATATGGACCTGTTTGCAATGTTTTCCTTCAAGTATGACATAGTTGAAGGGTGGCCTTCTAAAGCTAAAAGATAATGGAGAGTTTGTCTAGATAACATAATGTTCTATGGACCGATAACAAATGTACTTCGCATAAACCGTTAAGTTGTTTATGTAAAGAGTTAATTTTTGTCAAATTCCTTATAACTAAATTTCAAAACGATTCAAAATGTTCTAAAGCAAAATCATGTTTCATTGTTTTATCATAAAAAGGAGCAATGTTTATCAATGACGCATGACAAATAACAGCTGGAGTATTTTCACGCGCTGTTTTTCGATTAGGAAAATCTAAGGTTTGATCGATTTAACAGGGATTTCATATTAGTCAATACGCGGTTGCTATAGAGTTCAGAACGTTCACATTCAGCATATATCTCTTAATGTAGACTTAAGTGGTATCCATAATCAATTGATGAGATATACATACGATTTCCAAAAATATACAAGTGTTAACAAGTGGCATTGTTTTCGTAAGTGGCTTTGCTACGGTAATTCCATTTCTCTCGAAAGGTATTTCAGCATCAGCTGAGACATCATGTGATTCACTTAAATAAATGTTTGGAAACATGCAGCCTTGGAATATGTAGTCTAGGGATTAGCAAAGCAGGTTATTTTGGGATGTAACGATTACGTCATTTATGGATTAAGGAAACACGAGATCAGGGGATAAGGGAAACAAGTGACCAGGGATGAGGAGAACACGTCGTCTTGGGATTAGGGAAACACGCATCCTACGGATTAGGAAAACACCTAACCTAGGGATATGTATAGCACGTAGTCGAGGCCTATGTATTAGGTAAACACGTAGCCTGTGTATTAGGTAAACACGTAACCTATGTATTAGGTAAACACGTAGTCTATGTATTAGGTAAACACGTAGCCTGTGTGTTAGGTAAACACGTAGCGTATGTATTAGGTAAACACGTAGCGTATGTATTAGGTAAACACGTAGCGTATGTATTAGGTAAACACGTAGC